AAAAAAAAAAAAAAAAAAAAAAAAAGGAAGAGGATCGAAATAAACGTAACGTAATAACTTTTCCCTCGAGATTGAAAATTGCCTGAGCGTTCGGATGGTGTCGAAAAGAAGAAATTCGATTTGGCCATCGATCCTGAGGCCGTCGATCTTGATCCTCGTCGATCGTGATTCACAACCTCGACGTTCCTCGTCCATCGTTTACTCGTTGGATAATACTGATCGACAATACTTTCTCCCTCCGATTAATATGATTCCTCGGTCGATATTTGGAGGGTGGGGAGGGGTTTGAGTTTCCCCTTCTTCGAGAACGAAGAACTCGAGCGTTGGCAGAACGACAAACGGTCGGATGCTTCAAATGTATATCGTCTCGAGCTTCTTTCCCGCCAGGAAAATTTCGATGTTGGCCATGGTTATCGTTATTCGTGAAGCGTCGCTACTCCAGATGCACCTCGGGACGGCTCGTCCAGGATTGATGCTCACCCTGGGCAAGCGAGTTCAGTTGGTGCCGTGCGGAACTTTAATCCCAGGGATGATGGGAGATGGGGGCGGCCTTCACCACCTTTATCTGAGGCTCCACGTAGTGCTCGACGCCGACGAGGTGAGGTGTCGCGACCTTGGGTCCGTGGTACGGGATCTTCACGGTTGGCACATGGGGGATCTTAATGTTGAGGGGTTGGGGGTGTGGGGGTGGAATAGCTGGTTGTTGCGGAATCTGGAGCACTTGGTGGACTTCCGGAGCATGTACCTGCGAAATTTTTCCCGACGTTAAATTAATTTTACTCGAGACACGGTCAGCTGAGATAATTAGGTCCGTAAGAAATTTCTGTTTCTGGTGCTCGACGTCGAAGAAAACTCGTCGAAGCGAGTTGCCGCGAGCTTAAGCGCGAGCGGATAATAAACGCGGAAGAAAGGAACTGAAGGAGCGGTTAGAAAATCTCGCGACTCCTTATGCGGTTGCATAAGTAAGGGATTGGAAGGAATCGTTGAACGATGATTCAGAACCGCAATCCTCGTTAAGGGGGATTTGCAAACGCTGTTGGTTAACGTTGGTTAACGAACAATTCAATTAGACGGCGATCGAGATACGATCGCATCGATTGATTGGAAAGTTAAGTTACGTGATTCGTAACCACCGCTCCGCTTTAGACGAACCATTAGACGTGGGAAATGAGGAGTTATCGATGGTGCGGTAACGATTCGAATCGAAATCGAACACGCATGAGGCGGCGAAGAGTCAAAATATAAATGAAAGAAAGTAATGGTGGTACAGGAAGATTGATTTTGAAATTGAACTCGAGAAAATGAAATTAGTTGTTGTCAAGGTGAAATAAAACATTGCTGGTAGGTAGCTGATATTCGCTAGGTGAATGGTAAAAGTGATACTCGAGAAAATAGATGAAAACGAAACGTGTATACGTACACTTTTTGAATAATGTTATATTTTACGGATATTGGACGCTCGAAAAACGAAAAATTTTCTCCTATCGATTCTTCGTTTCACCTGATATTAATCTTAAATTATTTTTTTTTTCTTTTCGTTACCTGAGGAGCCGATACCTTGACTATTGGTGCTTGAGGGACCTTAACGTACGTAGGTGCGGGTGCTGGCCAAGCTTCCGGTGCTAGCCATGGTTGCGCCACTACCTATGTATATTTCAAAAATCCTTTTCAATACTGCTCTTTAAATTTCGATGCGGAAACTTTTGGTTACGTTTGGTTACCGCCGAGCGTGTCCAGTTTCTCGGTCCAACGAAGAGCGCATTCGTGCCGCCAGTTTTCGGCAGATTAGATTTAGATAACCAGTGGATAAACGATAAAAGAAAGACGTGAAAATAGATGAGTGATGACGTACGATGATCAAAGATTTCTTCTCGATTCGAGTTTTGGAGCGGCCCAAGTCTCGTCAAGTAAGACTTGGACGAAATAGAGTTAAGAGAAGGGTTAAAATTTTAGAGATACGATACATAGCTTACTGTTTATCGATTATGAAGAAGTGCCTTGGAATGGTCTCGCATCATTCGTGGATTCAGTGTTGTGCGGAAATTGTTACGAGAGTGAAATTAAGATGTTGAACGTTTGAAAAAATAAAATAAAATAAAGCGTTATATTTTTAATAGGTCCAGAGTGAATGGTATGGAATAAATTTCTCCTTTCGTGAAACTTAGATAAAATTAAATCGAAAGATTATTACGCAACGTGCAGTAGAACGCAATTCGATTGGCGAAAAAATCGAATCGGATTAATTATCAGAAACTTTTGTTTTTACTTACCGGTGCGTGTAAGTATCCAGGGTAAGCACTGGCAACAGCCATAGCGGCGAAAAGGACAATCTGCAATTATAAAAAAAAAAAAAAAAAGAAAAAAAAGAAAATATTAACTCGATATTTCCAACTCGAACTGGTTCCGTTTACTTCGAAAAGGCGAAATTCAAAGAGATGCATGAATACAGTTATAATATAAGAATAATGCGAATGGTGAATTTTAAAATGGAGATGCAAAATGGATACGTGTATGGATACGAGGCCCGAGAAGAAACTACGAGCAACTCGTTGGCAACTGATGAGAAACTTACGACGAACTTCATTGTGGGTGATTTTTCTTGTGCAGTACACGGGAAAACACTACGTATCTGAGGGGCGACGTGGTTTGCTTTTATAGCGGTGCCCTGCCCAGGCCCAACGAGCCAAGATGAGGCGGGGGTACAACGATTGCATTGCATACGGACCCCTTTCACCAATGCCGATCGACCCTTTCGGACCCCTTATTCGGTGTTCCGTTGACCGCAGAATCGTTTCACTTCCGTCAACTCAACGCGATGACACTCTGGAAATTTTCGAACTTCTTCCTCTATAATAAGAAAAGTGTTTGTTTCGGGTAGGGGGGGGGAGAAAAAAATCGAAATCTCCGTATAAAATTGACCCAGTTTGCTCGTGGAGCGACGGAATTGCCGATGGCGAGGAGAAACGAGAGAGTTGGAGATCATAAGAAAAATTCATCAAGGATTCGTGCACGTCGTTTCCTTCGAACGATCGAATTGATTTTTCTTTTCTTTTTTCTTTTTACTTTTCTTAATTGGAAATTAACGCGACGAGTGATTTACATTTAATCTGCATTTATTATATAAGTTGCAAATCGTGCCGATCTTTCCGTGTTACGCTTGTACTTATGGAGAAAATATCTGGGAAAGAGGGATACGTACATGATACGTGTTTCATGCTCTTCCGCGAAACGATATTAACGTATTTCGCGAGTGAATATAAAAATAAGTTGTCGTATAAATTTAGGTAAATAACTGCTTCGATAAATTATGAGAAAAATATTTGTAAGAATATACAGGTGAATAAGCTCGATAATCTATTAAACGTCGTTTTCTACTCATAATCTGTGTGTCTTAAATCGTGATGGATCTTTGCCATGTCCGGAGTATTACAATATCGTGTCAATCATCTTGAAACTTAACGATGGCAATAGACAGAATTGCGCAACGAAAAATTAAGCCCGACTTCCGGTTAAATTGGCGTAACGATCATTTTATGAAATTTTCCATTTTACGTTTCCCTTCCACATTTATTTTCCATTTCGACGTACTTTGTTGCCTTCGAATTTACTATTATTAAAAAGATTATTTATTTATATTTTAAAATTTAATACTTTCCGCAAAAAAAGTTATTACAACAACTGTGTGTTCGAAATTGCATTGATTTTCATTGAAAAATTCAGTTGAATCGAATAGAAAGTCATTAAATGCTGAAAAAATTTTACGTTAAATCGAAAAAATAGAAAAGTGAATTTATTGTTTTTCATTTATAACAAAACGCTACAAAGTTATAACGTGTATCGGGTATTTTTCTAAAAGAAAAAAAAAGAAAAATGGAATTGTTTTATATTGTCCTAAATTTTATAATTATATATAAATTTTATATTGTCCTAAATTTAAATAAAACACAGTCAATAATTAACGATATTTTAATGGATTAAATAGATAATATCTTTTTTATCTAATTCCAAAACGCGTATGAAAAATTTTATACTCAATGGTTTGATTTCAACATTCATTAATTTTATTAATTTCTCGTATTAGATTCATCGTACCCGTAATAAGAAATAAATATTAACGCAATGATGCAACCTAGAAAAAGAAAAAAAAGAAGTAAAAGTGCATAGCGTAAAATTTGAAATTTAAATTTATTCTCGATCGTAACAATCGATTTCTACGATCAAATATTAATACAACCGCGAAAAGAAAAGAAAAATTGTTGCCAAATCGATCCATTTGCAGCGGGCGAAATTCCTCGTATACGTTTTTGATCCGAGGAATATTATGCAATTCCGGATAATAAATGTACGGAAAGAAAGAAAAACGATGTAAAATTCTGTTTCAATTTTCATCTCTCCCACCCTATTTATCCCAATTATTCCTCGCGTCGCTAATAGACAGGATTTTACGACTCGCCAATTTCGTAAGCGTAGTAAACGCCAACTTTCTGTAACGTAACGAGCCACTGGAATCCGAGTAAACTCGTAAGTATATCTAATTCTCGATTGTGCATTCATATTGTTCGAATCCTTGCATTTTCCATGTAAAACATTTTCCACCATCTAGAATTAAAGTTTTCAATTTTTCCAAGCAGAGAAACTCCTATAATTTCCTCGCGATACGAAACTTGTTAATTAAGCGATACTGATCGTTAATTGTCACGCTTGTCGATTCCATAGTTGTTTTCGAAACGACAAACAAAAAAAAAAAAAAAAAAGAAAAAAAGAGCAAGATAATCTTCTATCTTAGAAAAATATTTCTTTCGCGCGTGATCTTCAGACACACGAAGGTTGCAACGATTCGCGCGAAGTTTCCACCTTGGCACGGTTTCTCTAAAGCAACTTTTCTCGATACCTTTGGCCTGCTCGATTTCCTTTTCGAGAAAACTTGCCGCCCTTTACATGGGAGCGCGCCGGACGGTTGGCCAATCTTTCGCCATTCTGGTAACGACGCTTTTGACCCGTCGATCTGTCCTGAAGATTTCCGATAGATTTTAAATTGAAAAAAAATTCTCCGCGATTAATTAGACAAATCGTACATTCAGGGATAAAAGAGAAACGAGATCTAATCTTAAAACGGACGATCTTAATTTTTGCAAATAAAAAAAGAGCGAAAAAAAAAAAACGATTGTGTAATTCATCACGATTAACAATTATTGTTCTTCGTTCTATATACTGATAACAAAATTTCCCAGTCTTATATAAGATTCTCAAGCTATATATTTTGCTTCGTACAATAGCTCATTGAATATAAACAGCGCTAATCGGAATCGTATCTTAGACTCGGATATATAACTATAGATGCAACAAAATTGCAAGAATGGAATGATATCCAACAATATTGCAACTCTAACGAAGATATGCGAGATACGGCACGTTAAAGCGATGCACGTTTAAAATATCCTCGTCTTTTCATTACGTTTCCAAGTTAGGTTACCGTTCCCAGATCGTCCCTTTGTTTCCACGAACTCGAGGGAAACGAAGCGAATTTTTCGTGTGAATCTTTCCAGATTTCCATAGGTTAGTCGACTGTGGAAAATATTTTTTACCGATCCATTGGCAATCACGCGGGAACGTTCGGCCATCTTGCCACTCGCCACTCGGACTTTTACGCAATTTCCACGCGCCGCACTCGTTGTTTCCGAACACACACCATCGCAAAAACGGAAAGACAACCCTGCGTGCGGATGTTAATTGGAGTGGTTGCAAAATCTAGAAGGTGTAATGATCCGCGTTATATTCTCTGGACGACCATTTCGGTCCGCTGTTGGCTAAAAATGAGAAATTTTTACGATTTTTCGTGAAGATATTATTTCTGAAACGATATTGCAGAAACAATAATTATTCTGCAAAATCACAACTTATTATCTTTTGATTTTTCTTCATTTTCTTCTTTTCCGAACACAATTGAGAATGAAAGAAAATATCGTAATCTTTTGATGGAATATTCCACGGTATTCTTTTTAATCGATTCAAGCTACAAGTTACATAACAACTGTCAGCTGATATGGAGAACGTAGAAAATTTACATTACGATTAAAATTCAAATATATGCGTCAATTTTTAGAATAAATTTTTAATTATTCAAAAAAAAAATTTCTTTCATTTCCTTATCTCGATATCCAAAGAGAAGCGATTTTTTTTTGATTTATAAATACTAGAGCTCGAGCAAATCGACGTCGAAAATGAATTGTACATTAGTGGAGATCGAATGAATCGAGTTCAATCGCTTGCTAATGAGCGGGGCTAACGTAACACGATCTCTTGGACAGTTACGTTTCATTAAACGTTTAATTTATTCTCTCGATATCTCACAAAAATATATAATTCTCTATAAATTGGATCGTTTACATGATTATTGAATAATAATTGTCGCTATTCATAATCCATGGAATGATGCATCAAACGATCCATTAATTAAACAATTTATTAAATTATAATTCTGGAAAATAAATATCTCGCAAATAAATAAAATTTATAAAACCGTTTTAACTCTTCTATGACAGCTAATAATAATTTTTTTTCTAACAACAAAATGCTTTGTTCACTTTAAGAATACAAGAAATTTCTTAATTTCTTAAGAATGGAAACGGAACACGTTCGATAAGGCGTAACTCCGAAAAAACTTACTAGCATTAAAATATGCGCAACATTGCAGTCAACGTGTTAATTAACATTGTAAAGATAAAACACGAAAAGAAACGCACAAGAAAGAAATTCACGCTCCGTCGAGCGAGCAGAAATTCGAAATACAACGCCCGAGTTTTCCACATAGAAAATATACGTGTAGATCGCGAAAAATTTAATTTCGTGATTAACGGTTCAGCAACACCGGTCACAGCGAAGAAACCGTTGAGGAAGTTCAGTGCATCGAGAAATTAAGCAATTCGTTCTCTTCAGATAAAATCGGTCGGTAGCCACAGATTACGAGTCAGAGGAATTAAAGCGATCCTCCATTGTTCCAATTCTCTCTGCTTACTGAAAATTCTACCTTCGCCGATTAATCTTGCCATTCAAATTATATAAGACGTAATTATAGAACTCACGACATCGAGATAAATTAACGATTTGTTAAAACATTTTTATACCATATATCATCGACAATTAAATTCGATGGCTGCATGAACAGTGACTGATACAATTAATCACAGATCCTTCGATCTGTCAATGATAAACATCTTAACGCATGAGATTATTTTATTTGATAATTACGTTATGATATCACTATTCGCAAAGATCTTTTTTAACGTACGCGTAAAATTAAATTATCTTTATTTTTTACTAAACTGATAGAATTAATTCTATTCATTCACGTCTCCTTGGAGCAAAGTACAAAATCTCTCCGCTTTTCTTCCTTCTTACCCGAATCCTTTCCTTCCACAGTTTAATACATTATAATTGTGAACGAGAGTGTTGCACAAAACGCCTTTTTCTAAATTTTTACGTTCTTACCGGGGTAACTGGAAAAGATGAATCATCGTGGCTCGATCGCGATAGAAATTCGCCTCGTATTTTCCTCCTCTGAACACGCGCAATATCAATTTGCTCGGAACTTCTTGCCAAAGTGAATACTTTCCAAACTTCCCCGTAACAATTAGAGAACTTAGTGATGAAATCGTACGATAAGCGATGAATCGGACGACCGCGCGACCAACGAAAAAAAAAAAAAAAAAAATTCGTATTCGAATCGAGATCTAGATTGGATTTGCATGCAAAAGTTTTACCGCTTTTAGTTTAAATCATTGCAATCGCATCATCGGTGTAAATTAAATATACGATTACAGGGCAATTAAATACGCAGTCAATTATTGAACGAATATCACAGTCTGGTTTATTAAACGTAAATCTTTCGGTATAAATTATTGAACGTATTAACTTTTCGCGGCCGTTCTCGTTTAGGGAGAGGTAAGTAAGTAAGTTGCTACCTCGAGATTTATTAAATAATTATTCTCCGCGTTTCGATCTATCGCGCGTAACAAAAACGATAAAAATGTTCCATGTGACGGGAAATGTATTATTGAACGTTGCTGTTACATCTTCCACGAAGTGAAAATAACTTTCCATGCTGTTACTTTCTTTTACGAATACACGATAAATCATCGTGACACTATTCACGTTGGATGGATCGAAATGCAGGGAGTTAAGGTGGTCGTTTCTAATACATTCCCTCGGTGCATTTTTCTTCTCGGTAGAATTGCTGAATTTGTCCTAGTGAACCTCGATCGTTCCCGATCGACGAATGGCAGAATGTGATTTCTTGTACGTTCGCAAAGTGGACATTGCCGAAGGGATAGCATACCGGGTGACCTGACAATTAGGACTTGCAAGATTGGTTCTCGAAATAATAAGACTTGTTTTTCTTGGAACACGAGGGAAAAAACGATACAGCATTCGAGACGTTTATAGAGTTCTAATCGCTTTGGATCAAACGAGGGAACGAGCAAGGAACGGGAGTCTGTTATTATTAAATTTATAATAATTTGGATAATGAAATTTAATAAAAATTTCTGAATTGAGAATTGTAACAATTGTCGAGTTTCATATGAGAAATAGATATTTCGTTGTTGGGCCATTGGCAACTGAACGAAATATTGGAATAGCCAAACGTTACTTTTAATTTCTCCACATACCTAGACAATTAAATCGAGTAAGTGAACTAGTAATGAGTATATTTGGAAAGAAAAATAAAAAATCGAATTTATTTATTTCACGAAAATTTAAAAATATTCTTTTCACTGAAATGATCTAAAAGAAGGTGGATTTTAAAAAGGAGAAAGACGAAAAAATATGCAAGTGACATCTCATTATCGAGAAAATAAATTAATAACACGTAGTGATTGGAAGTTCTGTGTGTCCAACGTGTGCCAAGTGCTCTAGATTCACGAGCCATGGATGGCGATTGCAACAATCTCGGTGCAGATCCCCGGGGGCAACACGGATTCCCATATCTGCGAATGCTGAACACACCAACGAGCTTAGAAAGTAAACTTCCATGTGGCAGAGCAGTAATGCCGTCGGCTGTTACTTGTTTAATTATTTAATTATATGGACCATGGTGGCGGCAACCGTGTTACCGAAGAGAGCAAAGATCTAACAACCCTTGTTTAACGTAACACAAATTGTAACATTGAATCGAAAGGAAGGCGTTAAATCTTGCGATATTAGACCTGAAAAGATTTAAAGCTTATAAGTTCGTATGATATATATTACCATAAAATTGGAGATATAAAAAGTATTGATAACTGAAAAATATATATATTATGATATATAAATATTGCATTTTATCGGTAATTAACTGTTTTAAATGTTCCATGAAAAAATAAATCGTATTACAGTAAATTTGAATCACTGTATTATTTCATTTTTTCAATCATTTCTAAATCAATCGAATTCATGTTGACTTCATCGAAAAGAAATTATTGCATATAAAGAAACAATCAAGATTATTGTTTTATTTTGTTTTACTAATGACGCAAGCAATTCCAATTTAATTTTTTTTATTCATTTTAAAAATTTCTAATCTCTGAAC